GTCGGACCCGGAGCGATGCGCGAGCTATTTTAGCCGGCAGTTCATACTGCATCCTCCGGTGGACAAAGCCAAGCGTCGAGTGACCAGAAGGATGCACAAACTGCCAACAACTTGTGCCCCCTTGCTTTCACTTGCGGTGAAGTTCAGGTGGCCATCGGGAAGGCCCTGCTTCTCCTGTATTTCGCGAACCACCTGACCCCAGCGAAGCATCAGCATGGTTTCCGTAAAGTGCACAGTACAACAACAGCACTTAAAGCCATAAACACTCAGATAACTCGTGGCCTCAACCGTAACCGTCCCTGTGAGAGGACGATTCTAATAGCTTTGGACCTGTCAAAGGCATTTGACACTGTCAGCCATTCCACGCTACTAGAATATATACAGGCTTCCTCTCTCCCACAGAGGCTCAAACGGTGGTCGGCAAATTGGCTGAGTGGTCGACACTCGTCAGTAATGTTTAGAGACAAATCGAGTAAACCTAGGAAAATAAAACAGGGGGTTCCACAGGGTGGTGTCCTTTCCCCGCTACTGTTTAACTTTTAAATTTCAAAGCTCCCTCAACCACTAGAGGGAGTTTCGATTGTCTCTTATGCCGACGATTGCTCGATCATGGCGACTGGGAATGGAATTGATGACCTGTGTTCGAAAGTAAACGGCTATCTCTCCGAACTTTCTCGCTTCTTCACTGCAAAGTGTCTAGCCCTCTCCCTACGAAATCCTCTGCGACCCTGTTCACAACCTGGACAAAGGAGGTCAGGCTACCGCTGGGAATTCACGTCGATGACACACCAATTCCGACGGTGAATAACACCAACAGACTCGGAGTAACATTCGACAGCCTGCTCTCCTTCTCTGCGCACGCAACCGCTATTGTCAACAAAGTACATACATAGGTATTGTATGGCAGTACTTCGGGCAAAGACAAAGAAACGTTGCTGACAACATACAAGGCAATAGGCCAGCCGGTTTTAAATTACGCAGCACCAGTGTGGTCGCCGGGGACTAGTAGGGCGCAGTGGATGAAGCTACAGACAGCACAGAACACCGCACTCAGGACAGCGACTGGATGCCTCCTGATGTCGCCTTAACACCACCTCATAACCACCAGCATAACATAATACTCTGCAAGCAGTTTCTGGTTGGGAGCCACAGATTTGGCCACTCAAACAGACAGCTGCTTGCAGAGGAGCCCTCGTCTAGGCACGTCAGGAGGCATCTATACGAACTGGTGGACGAAGTCCAGATGTTCATTAAGCAACCTCTGAACCCGTTAGCATACCGACAGGCCCTGAACGGCGTTCACAGGGACCCAGTCTCGAGTTATGTAGACTCTAGACCTTTGAAGGCTGTTCTAGGCACACAACCACCGGACATTTACGTGATGGAGCTTCATCTGCCTATGGAGACAAGGACCACATTAGCCCAACTTCGCTCTGGCTTCTGCAGCAGGTTAAACTCATACCTGAGCAGACTAAATGGATGTGCCAAATGAGTGTCCGGCATGCGGAAAGACCCCTCACGACTCGAAACATCTCTTCGCATGTCCGGAAAACCCGACAACCCTAACGGCTTTGTCCCTGTGGACCGACCCTTTAACCAAGTTAAAAATTGGCAACAGTTTTATAGCCACTGTGAGATTTGCTTGAGAAATCGTGTTGACAACACAATCATGATTGGGCCTCCGCACACTGGACTGCTCAGTCCCCCTAAAACCGGTCTTGTGTTGATAAGAGGGTGAAGAGAGTTCGAGTTTACCTCGCTCATTTCAGTCCACGAAAATCGCGGATTGACGGTGGACTGACACGCACACATAGATAACATGATTTCTATTTCGTTTTGTTTGCATATGCCACATGCACTAACCCAATCATGCGTAGTTCACGTATACAAAACTGAAACCTGTTTTCGGCCTTCTGTCCAGTCCATTGTGCGTTCGAGTAGTGGACTGCTCAGTCCGACTGAGCAGGCTAGTGTGCTCAGGCCCATTAAATATACAATAGGGTTCTTCATAAAGAGTGATAAACTATTGAAAATTATGATAAAATGATAAATTTATCATCTTGTTAAATGAACTGTCAAACTTTGTATGGAAATCTATTTAACCAAGGTTTATCACTTTATCAAAGGACTTTGGTGGATAAACGTATAAATTTCAGCAGGTGGCCGATTTGCTACGAATACATAAGAAGCAAATTAACACAATCAACGAGGTAAGAATGAAACGTATCTAGCCAGAAAAGTTAAATAATAAACAATTTTGTGCAATAATTACTAGGGGTCTTCATCTAAAGTGATAAAGCGATAGATTGCTAAAATTTATCAGTTTATCCGCATTCTTTCATGAACGCACCTTGGTAAATAATTGCATAAAATTGTTTATTATTTAACTTATATGGCTAGGTTTGATTTTATTCTTACCTCGTCTATTTGGTTCATTTGCTTTTTATGTGTTCGTAGCAAAAGCGACCACCTGGTAACCTGTCAACGTTGAATTTCGCTAAAATTTATACATTTATCCACCAAAATCATTTGATAAAGTGATAAACTGTGGTTAAATAGACTTTCATATAAAGTGGTTAAATAGATTTTCATATAAAGTTTGACAGTTCATTTATCAATCATTTCAGTTTATCACTTTTGATGAAGACCCCTACTGAGTTGTGTTCATGAAAGAATGCGGATAAACTGATAAATGTAATCAATTTATCCCTTTATCTCTTTAGATGAAGACCCCTAATATACGTCAAACACGAGTACCGAGCACTTTGAGTCAGAGCATGATTCAATGGCTGCATTTCTTTATTCATTCTGAACGTTTGGAATAAACTTTTTTGTTTACTTATTCTTTAGAACGTTCCTGATGATATGTTAACGTATATTTCAAAAACATTCTGTTTATTCCGGCTGTGAAATGGGATTATCCGGAATGTATAAAGAAACGCAGCCAATAATACAAGGTTAGATAATTATTGACAGCTGCGGTTTGACACTCCCTTACAAAAGGTTGCATTTACGGAGGACAGAGAAAGGGCAAGAATGCAATCCCTTGTTTCGAAAATGGTAGTAGAAAAGTACGCAAAGTAGGCAATTAGTAGTGAAATTCCTTTCGTAAATTCTAATGTATTTGCAGGAAATCTGGCATTTTAAACGAAATGTTGAACGTAATATTGATATATCTACGTGAATTACGTAATTTATATGCTATTTAGCCGTATAAAAACTGCAAAATGACTCAAAATTTAAATAAGACTACTATGAGACTGATGTAAACATCCAATGCATATGTTTTCATCAGTTAAATATGCTTCATATGCATATACAAATAAAGATATTGCACAAAAGCTTATACTTTTATTTCACACCAAAGCTACACTGTTTCCATGTAAAATTGCAAAGAAGCAACACGGTGCCACTGCTAAGGGAGCGGTGCGAGAGCGACAACTGTGAGTTTATCGAACCTTGTATTATTGAATCATGAGTCAGAGGTCGCACCCGTTACTTGGTAACGTAACGAATACATACGGTTTGCTACAGCTCTAATTTTGCGTTGTTTTGCCTCCAATCGCTGCATTTATTTTTTCAGTTTTGTTGATTATTCTGCACAATGGTAAGCAACAATTCTTGTCATATGTCAATATGGACACTTTCTCTGATAAAAACTTTTACAGTCTATCACTTTACATACAGACGTAGGCGATATTAAAATCGAACTTTTCTGTGAGGATTGCCCAAAGGCGTGCCACAATTTCTTGGCGCTATGTGCAAGCGAATACTACAACGGATGTGCTTTTATTCGGAATATAAAAGGCTTCATTGTGCAAACCGGGGACCCAACAAATACTGGCAAAAACGGGAAGTCGATATGGGACACAAAATTTGAAGATGAATTTAAGGATACGCTGAAGGTTGGCATAGTATTTTCTTACGACAAAGCCATCAAGGAACATTAAATAATATTTGATATCCATCCAGCATTCCGATCGGGGCATGGTCTCAATGGCTAATAATGGTCCGAACGCTAACGCCAGCCAGTTTTTCATTACATATGCGGCACAACCAAATCTAGACCTGAAATATACACTCTTCGGAAGGTTAGTAGATAAATACTAACTTTTGCCGCATTTAATGTATTTTGACTTGCAGAGTGATAGACGGCTTTGACGCGTTAGATGAACTAGAAAAACTGCCCGTAAATCCCAAAACATATCGTCCACATCTTGAAAAGAAAATAAACAGCGTCACCATACATGCAAATCCCATAGCTGGATGAACGCAGTCGGGAGGTTTATTATAAAAATTAAGGTTTAAATGCGAAAAAATTATTGTTTTATCCTATGAATTAAAAATTTTGTATATTGCAAGCCTGTAAAATATATTTAAGAAAATATGTTTCGGGCTTACAATTTACATGGGGTTGTTTACTATGCTTAATTCCTTACCCCAGATCGATGAACACTACAAAATCCTTAGTAAAAAAAGAAAATTCGATTAATTTACTCTTCAAAAGCAGCGATATTTACTACGAGAATTTTCAGACATTTTTTGGACACTTGCAAATTAAAATAAAAACTTTTAACATAAATGCTGTTACAAACAAATTACATATTTCAATCAAAAAGACGTGTTTACTGATACAAAATAACATAAATAAACGCCAACACCAAAAAGATCGTTGCAAGGACGAGATAAAGCCTAAGGTTATATTTACGATCCAATGCAATCAGCAATTGACGGAAAGATTCAGTCACAGAATCCCGTGCGGGGCGACGCCCAATAATGTCATACCGCTTCGAACGTTGTATTGGACGAGGTGAAGAGTACTCTCCACCAAAATCAGTAGTGCCCAAGACACTCGGTTTGCCTAATACTACCCCGTCGGACTTAAGTCGCTCTAAGTTGCGTGCAAAACTGCTCAAAAAGGGCGTTTCAAAATCTTGTTTATCAGCCTCCTCATTATCGTCGCTTTGTTCATTATACAGAGGTGTAGCTTTTGATGTATATAATCCACTAGTAAGGGTGTTTGTACTGTAGCGCGAAATAGATGGTACTTCTTTACTCAATCCAATGTTGGTCCTTTGCGTAAGGTTCGGGTGCAAGCTATAGCGGCCGCTATTTACATTAATTTGGGACTTATATATTCCATGTGGTAAATTCTCTGACGTTAAATTACGGCTAGAGACCTGGAAAATAAATGGCTTGAATAATTACATATATGTATGTAAGTGCATGATCTGAAAAATATTACCTCGGGAACTTCCGGCAATGGCTTAGCAGTTGCTTGACTGTACGATGTCGTTACGACGCCCGTTTTTGACAAAGAAACTGATCTTGATGAACGTGAACGTGCATTCACTTCCTTTGCTACCGGTTTCTGCTTGGATCTTTCCAATTCCTGTACAGCTGCCAATATTAAATTGTTATCCTCTTCATCACTTTCAAGTATATAAACAGGATTAGAGGTCTTCGACGGTTTGTTATCCTTTTGAGATGGTGGTATTTCATGATCACGAGTTGATCGTCGGCGTGTGCCAATGGGAGCTGGAACAATAGTGTCCGTGGCTTGAGATTCACTTGGTTTTTGCAAGTCGAGAGTTGGTGTACCGGCAATTGTGCGTCTACTCGGACCCCTACTGGGAGTACGACGCTCTGAATCTACTTTTACTTCATCCTTAACTTCAGCCGTTTCGGTGGTTTTAGAGACGTGTATAGTCTCACGACGGGAAGTTTTTTTTGGAGACGACGCCGCCGGCGAGCCTGATAACGAGGCGCGTAGTTTTCTAATTAACAAATTTCGGCTTGAGTCCGTTATCGGAACGTTGGGCAATCCATGCTGTATGCACTTTTTTCGTAAATCCGCGTTGCTTAGAGACTCCAAATTATCAATTTCAGACATTTTAATTGCGGAATTTAATTAATTTTTAACCTTTCAAAATTTTCACTTCACCTTTTGCGCGTTCAAATATTTCACCAACGCCGTTTAACGAAGACCAATCAAGCACAAATATGCAAAATATCCTACTGACACAGGCTTGACGCAAGCTGTCGAGTGCATGACACAAAAAACAAGTCTTTCCTGTATTAACACTTTAATGAGTTTATTTACAAATGTAGCATTCGAATTATTAAAACATTTTACATTTTAATTAAATTACCTTTTTACGATAAAAACAATTTTGTCAAGCAATGAGTTTGAGAGTTGGGCAACACTCCTACAACATGCAACATGACATTTTTGTTTTTACCAGCTGGCCATTGCCATCATTCGAATTCGAAGTGATTCGAAGATTTATTTATTTGATTGTGTATTTTTTAACAAGTATCGTCGCAAGAATATGGACATTTCCAAAGCAACGAACGAAAGAAAATTGCAGTTGTGCCAAAATTACTTCAGAGGTTTAAAGCTAGGGAAATAATAATAATTAATACGTACAAATTAAAGTTTTGAATTTCTTCCTACTTATTCTCAGCTGGATGGGCTTTTTTGCCATTTGTTTGGGCCATCAACGTGTGCTGGTTTTTCAACGAAGCATTCCGAAAACCTGAATATCCTGAACAAGCGAAGATAAAGCGATGTAAGTCCTATAGCAAATACTATAAATTCGAATTGTAACTAATTTTAACATTAAATTTTTAGATGTTATTTTATCGCTGATAGGCGCACTCATTTGGGTCGCAATCATTATTAGTTGGATTATAGTATTCCAAACAAAGCGTGCAGAATGGGGAGCAATGGCAGATTATATGAGTTTTATTATTCCATTGGGAAGGGCCTAAAACCAAAGTATACCATATTTAAGCGACATTTTAATTTTAAAATTTAAATAAAGAAATCATAGGTAAAACTCTGAAATAAATTTATAGGGAAAATTAATAACATTTGCATATCCTTTAAGTCTTATTTTAATTTGGTATCTCCGCCGATCCTTCTGAGCTTTGTCGTAGTTCGCGCAGTTTTTCCTCAAAATAAGATTTATGTATTGTCAGAGGTAGAGACTTTTGACGGATGAAATAGTTTTCATTGCCTTTAGCTGTATAGGTATCATCCCCGATCAATTCGCGGAGCGCCATGTTTTTCTTTAAAAGCTTGTCATAGTAACTCGCTCCTGCTTCGACAAATTTCGGGCCCAAACTGCACAACTGTTTATCGATTTCTGTATCGTAGCTTACTTGGTTAAAGTCTTTCATAAAAGACCATGTACCAAAACCAAACAATCCCAATATCGAATACATAACAAGGCGCAACTGCAATGAGATGTTAAATTACATAAATCTTAGCAGCAAGAGGTAAAAAGAACTTACGCTGAAAGGTCTCGCGAAAAGGTTCATTCGCGCATTTAGGTAATGGCCAATTGTATAAACGGTCAAAAAGGAGACACTTGGAAATACCGAGTTCAATAAAACTCGGTGTGTTTGTAGTTGTAGAATTGATTTGCACAATCCAAACAATTGCTCGTCTTCTGATAACACAATTGCATCCAGTAGTAAGTTTCCAGCTTCTGTGTTCCATTGAATAGTTTGATCGCGGAAGCGGATATCATGTCGATTTACTTCCTCTTTTTCGGAGTAGGAATAATTCACAGGGATTCCCAGAGCGGCACCAAATCGGTACTTTGTTGAACCTATTTCATGTGCGTACATACACAGTTAACAACAATTGTAAATTAATAGCACTCAATTATTTAAATACCAGCCAAGAAGAGATCAAATCCGAAAACTGTAAACGGTTTGATAATCTTTCGTTGATATTCTTGTAATTGTAGTATATCTAATGCTTTGTCCAAACGCGCTTTCACCTTGTCGGGCACGGGGCGTGGTATGCCGTTTCTGAAAATAATTTAAAACTCTCCATAAAATAAACATTTTTGTATGATTTGTTAACTTACTGATAGCATTGTACAAAGTCTTTGTAGTATTTCAAGCACATTGTATGCGGCAAATAATTCACTACAAAAAGACCCAAGGTAGTGGCGCCTGTGGCAAAAAAGGCAATATTGCGTCCGGCTGTTGTCTGGAAGAAGCCCATTATGCCACGATTTACAACCGGGTCCTTTCTCATTTTTATTTACAATTAATAACAAATATTAATAAAACTCAAAACTACGAATAACCGATGCAATGTTATGTTATTGTGCCAATATTTGACAGCTGATTGTGAGGTTACAAAAATTCCCAATTGCATAATTTGCATCGCGTGAGCTGTGTTTAGCAGTCTTAAAAAGTAAAGGTGTTTTTTTTTTGAATGCGCATTTTTTACAAATTAGAATAAAAATACTAATATGAGATACAACAACTCACATATGTATAAATTAATTTTGATACCACTACATTACTGAACTGACTCATTGTACGCAACGGAATGACCGGGACGTTGTTGTTGTATCGACTTATTTAGGCCTGCCTAGATCGGCTTGTTTCCATGCGAAGAGGTGTGCGTAAACATGGGGTGGCCCCACGTGCCGGACATTCTTTGAGCACATCTCAGTTTATCCTGCTCAGGTAGGAGTTTATCCTGCAGCAGTATCCGGAGCGGAGTTGTGCTAAGAAGGTAGTGCGAGTCATCGCCGGCAGACGAAGTTCTGTCTTGTCCACGTCGAGTAGTTGTGTTCCTAAAACGGCATTCAAAGATCAAGAGTTGGTGAAAGTTGAGACCGACTCCCGGTGAATGCCGTTTATGGCTGTCATAAGTTACGGTCCTCAGGGTAACCTTGAGCAAGGTGGAGCTGAAATGGTTGTGATCCAAGAGCAGTGGTTGAGCAGTAATGGTTTCTCTGGACTCTGAGCAAAAAGATGTAATCTGAAGACGGCGAACCATGTAGGAAGGACTAGGGCGTGTTTGCTCATCAGAGGTGAACTAAAAGCTTTTCTTTTGCATAATTTCAGCAATGAAGACTTTTAAAGAACTACCTCTAACTAGGAGTGCTATAGCAGAAGCCATACAAAGGACAGCCGGCGTCATTTTAGGGTCCGATGCACATGTCCGCTGAGATTTCAGAAAGGCAGATGGAAACCCTTTGATAGACGGAGGAGCTTTCTGCGTTAGGTGCGTCGAGCAGACAATGATTCCATCGGGTATGCAGGTACATACATACATACATTCTGATTGGAAATATTCTAAGGGACTGGGAATCTACAACTTCGAGATCAGAAAGGCGAAAAGAGTTTTTTTTCTACGAAAGCGTAAATGGGTGTCATGAATACTCTAGATTTAGGCGTATACTCGCTAGGAATCCCGCTCTTAATATTCATTCTAAACCGTTCCCAGAGAAAATTTCCCTAAAGGAAGTGTGGTGCTTTTTCTGACCTTGTGGATAACGCTCGCCTGATTTGTTGAAAGCCCTAAACGCATGTAAATCTATTACTGCGCAACCGCAATGGAGGATTAGGCGGGTAAAATTTCTGGAGAGGTGGAGCAATGCACTTCTTCACGGATGGATCAAAACTGAACGGAAGGGCTGGTGGAGTCTTCTGTCGAGAGCTTTCCATCAGTACTAAGTTCAGGCTTCCAGGTTTCTACAGTGTATTTCAGGATGAAGTTGCTGCTATTAAGGATGGAGTCACTTCTCTGAAGTGCGATGATAGTCAGCATGGTGAGCCAAGGCATTATCAGGGCCTTCATTGCTTTGGAGGTGCACTCCAATTTAGTTAAAGAGTGTCTGCTCTCTCTCTCTCAGTTGCGGCGGAATACTTCTGGATTAGCCTGATTTGGGTTCCAGATCCCATCAAAATTGCGGGGAACTGTGTGGCTGATGAATCGGCTTGGAAAGGTACCCTTGAAACGTTATCGCTAGATAAGCAGCAGCGGGGGGTGCCATTGATCACATGTGATACACTCTTGGATATATTAGCCTCATGTCAGCACAACGCTTGGGGCGAAAACCAGGACATGCGCGAACAAGGTCCTTCTGGTAGAGGGTGGACAGCAGGCGGTCGAAGGCTCTGCCCACGCTTAAAAAGCAACATATTTCACTCTTATTATTATTATTATGGGCCATATACACCGCGACCTCTAAAGTGATCTGTTGTGCGTGGCCCCGGCCCTATATGGGAAGACTTTTAATGTAGGCTAGTACTTCCAAGGGCGTTTTGTTCTAAATTTCAAACGGATTAAGTTTAGCACCACCTAACAGCGCTCTTAGACGATATGTATTTGCATATCGTCGTTTAAAGTACAAAACCGCGTATCAAGATAATGCAAAAACCTTTATGTGAAGTTGCATAAGTTATTTTCCATAGAGTAAAAACACTCATATTTCAAAATAGTTCCCTTTTTTATAAAGCAATCGCATTTCTGGCTAGTATATTTCAGGACGAATGGATAAGGATTGAGCCAAGAGCTTGTGTGACAAAATCCAATTTTTGGCAGCAGCAGTGTCCCGTCTAGTACCCAGTGAGAGTTTTGAGGTCCTCTCTGGCTAAATTGAGTGGTTTCTGTGAAGAACTTATTTTGTGGGACTTCAGAGCCAGTAAGGCTGCCTGACTGTCCGACATAATCCAGATATATTTCGATGATGTGCCCCTTCTAAGCAATTCTCTGCCACAAATTTCTATTGCATGAATCTCCGCCTGAAAGATGATGATACCTATTGGTATCGATTTTTTGAAGTTCTACCCAAAAATTTCAGCCCCAGTTTTATCATCTTCAAGCTCAGATCCATCTGTGTACGAAACCTCCCCATTAGGTTTGATGTATGGGTTCCGTGCATTCCTGAGAGCTCGAGCTGCAATGTGTACCTCAAATTTCCTAGAGATTTCTAGTTTTGGAACTATTGGATCGCGCATTTACAATATGGGGTTATTAACGAATTTCCTTAGGACCTTCATGTGGCCCGTCATATTTCCATTTTTCAGATCGGAGGTGTTGGGAATTCTCAGTGACGCTGTGGTCGCCTATTTTTATAAGCTTTTATTCTATTAAAATAGGAAAGGGAGGTATTCCAACCAAGGCGCTGAGTGCATCAGCCGGGCAGGTCTTCATAGCTCCTGTTATGTCAGTGCAAACGATTTTGTGCAATTTACTTAGTTTCGTACTTGCAGTTCTTTGTGCAGCCTTAGTCCACCTTGCTAAGGAAGAATAGGTTATTATTGGCTTTACAATATCGTCTTATAGAAGGATACCACCCTCGAATACCAATGCGGAGTTATCCGGCCTGGCAATGTTAAGCATGAAATATTTGAGGTACACAATATATAGGTCCCAAGCTGCCCGGTAAAACGTCACGCAGATCCTGATATGACTCGACCTATGCTACAGCTTGCTTCACACCACCTGTCCATAAGCATCATGATCGATTGATGAACCGGCTGTCTTCGAAGCTGATTGGGACGACTTTGCGAAAGATACCGAGACCACCTACGTCTCCTCTTCGTTTCTGAAGAGTCGGTCAAAAAAGGTGCGATGGCACAGTGTATTTAGATGCACCCATCTTCTGTTAGTAGAGTTGCTCTGGCTTTCTCTGCAGCCTGTCAATATAGGATATCTAAATATGGTTGATAGTTTGTATTCCTGCCTCATAAACTTTTATCTTTTTGTTGGAGCTAGTAGAAATTGCTTCCATACTGCCGAGAAGATGTGCGGATCACACTAGCCGCCATGTTGATTAAGAAGAGCCCAAAATCGGAGCCAGATACTACATCTGAGGGGATTTGTTAACTCCCCCCTGTCGGGGCATACTTCCGTCGGGGAAATGATAGCCGAAGTTTAAATATGGTATGACCTTTTTTAGGCCAATGTTGTTTTGAAATTTGTTAGACACTCGAAGTTTTAGGAAATCCCACCTGCTTATATGTTAAATATTGAATAAGCAAACTTTTCGAAGCAAACCTAAAGTCTACTTTAATTTGGCTTTATTAATAC